CATCAAGGAGAAACAAATGGAAGTTTCACACAGTAGCCTGGCCAGTAACAAAACTGGTTTTCAAAGCTTCTCTGATGCGCACCACACCCTGCTGTACTCTTCTAACCGCCCTGGTGTCTGGCTGCACGTAATCAGTGGCCAGGTGATTTGCCTCAACCTCCCACCCCGCCATAAGTGTCTCCCCCTTACTCTCAAAGATATTGTGGTGCGCACAGGAAGCAGCAATAACAATTGGAATATTGGTTTTGCTGAGGTCTGAGTCAGTAAGCTGCGCCAGCGCGCTTTTAATCATCCAAATACTCATTCTACCACCATTGTGCACTTGCTTAGCCTATAATTGAACAGGTCCTGACTACTGTCCAGGCTCCCTGTGTACGGCTTCATGAGCCATGGCATTAAGGGGTAGGCTGGGTTCCCAAGGATAACTATAGGCATTTCAACATCCCCAACGGTTATTTTCTGGTCCGGGAAGAAAGTCCCTTCCTCCAGCTTTTGAAACAGACCAGAGTTCCTGAATACACGTGCATCATGTACCTTTCCCGGCCGCTCCACGTTGATGTTAGTGAATCGTCCCTTGTGATCCTCCATGGCTTGCCACACCTGGAAAAGTACCCCTTGCAGTTTATGTACTCGGTGGCTTGGTGCTCCGGTGCCAAGATAGGTATATGTGTTCCGTCTATCACCCCACCACAGTTTGGGAAGCCCATTGCAGCAAAGCCATCCACTATGACCTGCACGTTTCCCAGTGTCACTACCCTTGATATCAGCAGGTTTATGATTGCATTGGCTACTTGGATCACAGCAGCCACCACAGTAGATTTGCTCACTCCAAATTGATTCCCGACTGACCGGTAGCTGTCTGGCGTTGCAAGCTTCCACAGGGCTATCGCCACTCGCTTCTCAACTGTGAGCGCTGCTCTCATCCTGGTATTATGGTGGTTCAGGGCAAGGGAAAGCAAGTCACAAAGTTCCATGGAAGTGCCCTTACGCATGTGAAAGTTTCGCAGCCACTGGGAATCGTCCCACACCTGCAACACTTTGCGGTTCCACCAGTCTGTGCTTGTTTCCCGAGCCCAGAATCGGCGTTCCACAACATCAACCTGGCCCAGTAACACCATGATTTACACATTGCTGGGGAGGTCTATGTCCATGTCAATTTCTTCATCATTCTCGTTGCCGCGCTGCAATCGCCTTTTCACCTGGTTTTGCTTTGGCATGTTCTGGCTCTGCATATACTACAAGACAATGCACGTGGTGTTCATAGTGCTCATAATTGCCACGGTGATCTGAGCGGGCTCCATGATCCCAGTGCTATGGTGTCTGGGCTTGAAAAAAGGTGCAAAACTATTGTCTGATGGAGGGAAGGAGGAAGGGAGGGGCAAGTGAGGACGTGGCTTACAGGTAATTAAAATCAACAAGGGTGGCTGTGCATCAGGAAGAAACAATAACAACTGTCACACAGAATGCCCCCCCCCCAGATTGAACTCAAAACCCTGGGTTTAGGAGGCCCTGGATTTCATGGAGGGAGGGGGAAGCAAATGAATACAGAACAAATCTGGTCCATTTACTGTTTGCATCCACTCCATCTATCTTTTACATCTTAGGCTGGCAGCAGATGGTGCAGCATGACTGATAGCCGTCGGCATCTTCTGGGTGCTTGGCAGAAGATGCTGTACTACGACTGGCAGCCATGATCGTCAAGACGGTGCAATAGGACTGCCGGCAGGACTGAGTCTCCAGGAGCCAAAACATGTCTGCCCAGGCACCTCTGACCGAACTCACTGAGGAGTATGACGACGATGAATATCAGTTGTAATACACCATCAGCTGCCAAAAGGCAAGGAGCTGCTGCTGTATAGCAATGCAGCCTCACGTCTCCCAGCACCCAAATAGCCGATGACGGCTACCAGTCATGCTGCACCGTCTACTGCCAAAAGGCAATTAGCTGCTGCTGTGCAGCAATGCAGTACCACGTCTGCCAGCACCCAGATGACATATGGTGATGGTGAGCTGAGCTGAGCAGGCTCCACGCTACCGTGGTAAGTCGTCTTCACAGGTAATCCAGGTAAAAAGGCGCAAATTGATAGTCTGCTGTTGCTCTGACGGAGGGGGAGGTGCCTGACCACATGTACCCGAACCCCCCGCGACACTGTTTTTCCATCATCAGGCACTGGGATCTCAACCCAGAATTCCAATGCGAGGCAGAGACTGCGGGAACTGTGGGATAGCTACCCACAGTGCAATCCGCCAGAAGTCGACGCAAGACTCGGTAGTCTCGGTACTGTGGATGTGGTCCGCCGACTTAATGCTCTTAGAGCATTTTATGTAGGGACACACACAATCGACTGTATGAAAATGATTTCTATAAAACCGCCTTCTATAAATTCGACCTAATTTCATAGTGTAGACATACCCTAAGCAAATACTGGCCAGTTAGCATTTAGCTGGTGTGCAGGTGCCATTGTCTCTGTGGAGCTCATCTGTGGCCGTTTTCCTGCTTTACAGCATCTAACAAACACACAGCAAACTCTGAGAGCTCCATGGACAGTGCTGATAGACATATATTAATGGGACACTAATATTCAGCAGGCGATGACTTTTCCTATGATACGTCACAAAACATACTTTGGAAAAGATTTATCATTTTGTAAACGTGGTTGTCACGGAGTATTGGGGGACTCAGGGCCCTGCACCCCCAGCTTCCTGTGATTCACCATGACTCTCAGCCAGCCAGTAAAGCAGAAGGTTTATTTGGATGACAGGAATACAGTCCAAGACAGGTCTTGCAGGCACAGACAACAGGGCCCCCCTCAGTTAGGTCCAGCTTAGGGTCCCAGGGCATCCCAGCCCACCCCCCTTTGGGGGGGTCAGAGCCATCTCTGCCTCCCAGCCATCTCTCCAGCCCGCTTCCAGCACTCTGCCTTCAGCGACCCCTCCCACAGCCTTTGTTCAGTTTCCCGGGCCAAGGTGTCACCTGGCCTCCAACCCCTTCCTGGGTTCTCATGTTACACGCTCAGGTATTCCCTCCGGGCAGTCTACCATCCCCCAATGCAGACTATCTTAGCCACACTCCCCAGTCAGCATTCACAGACCACAGTAAGAACAGTCCCAGTTCATCACAGTGGTGCCCATAAGAGTGTAGACCAGTGGTTCTCAGATGTGTTTCATTTCCCTTCCCTTCTTTGTGTCTGTGGTTATATAGGCCCCCACCCTTAAAAGAACATATCTCACCACCCAGCTCTAAAGGCAGAGTAGTCGCTGGCGATGTGCACAGCTCTGAAGGTCTCCAATAGCAGCACAGAAGTTAGGGTGGCCACGTGAAAAGTGATATTCGTCAATATCGCTGTTCACAACAGACTTATCACCCCATTGCCACCCCTACTTCTGTGCTGCTGCTCCACCTGGGTTTGAGAGCCTGAGCATTGATCCACAACTCCCAGCTAGGCCTGTTCCTTCTTCATGAGCCCCAGCCAACTGGGGCTGACAGCCAGTGCTCTTTAAAAAAAACCCAAACAACCCACACTGATCATGCCTCCCTTGACACATTCCTGTGCCTACTTTGGGAGCTCTACCCACACTTGGAGAATTACTAGTGCATAGAGTCACCGTGGGGATTGGTAGCCAAGATGGTAACACCTGCTCCTTTCTGCCTCCGGGATCCCCAGAGAAAATGTCCGAGAAGGAGAGCGGAACAGATCCGATTAACATTAGCCTTTCAAAACACATTTTGATAATTTCAGCTATAAACATTCCCTCCATCCTTCAGCCCCTACCCCGAGCGAATTCAATGAGATTGAGCTGGAATTGGGCAGGTGGCATGGGTGACAGGTATAATCACTGAATTATTAATCCATGAATTAACAGAATACAGGAACACTTTGGATAGCTAAATAGAGACTACTACACTTACCCCTCTTAGAATCATAGAATATCAGGGTTGGAAGAGACCTCAGGAGGTCATCTAGTCCAATCCCCTGCTTAAAGAATGACCAATCCCCAAATAAATCATCCCAGACAGGGCTTTGTCAAGCCTGACCTTAAAAACCTCTAAGAAAGGAGATTCCACCACCTCCCTAGGTAACCCATTACAGTGCATCACCACCCTCCTAGTGAAAAAGTTTTTCCTAATATCCAACCTAAACTTTCCCAACTGCAACTGGAGACCATTACTCCTTGTTCTGTCATCTGGTACCACTGAGAACAGTCTAGGTCCATGCTCTTTGGAACCCCCTTTCAGGTAGTTGAAAGCAGCTACCAAATACCCCATCATTCTTCTCTTCTGTAGTCTAAACAAACCCCGTTCTCTCAGCCTCTCCTCCTAAGTCATGTGCTCCAGCCCCCTAATCATTTTTGTTGCCCTCCACTGGACTTTTTCCAATTTTTCCACATCCTTCTTATAGTGTGGGGCCACAAACTGAACACAATATTATAGATGAGGCCTCACCAATTTTGAATAGAGTGGAATGATTATGTCCCTCGATCTGCTGGCAATGCCCCTACTTGTACAGCCCAAAATGACGTTAGCTTTCTTGGCAACAAGGGGACACTGTTGACTTATATCCACTTCTCATCCACTGTAACCCCAGGTCCTTTTTTGCAGAACAGCTGCTGGGTGCTTCAGTCCCTAGTCTGTAGCAGTGAATGAGATTCTTTCATCCTAAGAGCATGAATCTGCACTTATCCTTGTTGAACCTGTACAGATTTATTTTGGCCCAATCCTCTAATTTGTCTTCGTCCCTCTGTATCCTATCCCTACCCTCCAGCGTATCTACCAGTCCTCCCAGTTTAGTGTCATCTGCAAACTTGCTGAGGGTGCAGTCCACCTCATCCTCCAAATCATTAATGAAGATACTGAACAAAACCGGACTCAGGACTGACCCCTGGGCCACTCTGCTTGATACCAGCTGCCAACTAGACATGGAGCCATTCATCACTACCCCTTGAGCCAGTCATCTAGCCAGCATTCCACCCACCTTATAGTCCATTCATCCAGCCCATACTTCTTTAACTTGCTGGCAAGTATATTGTAGGAGATCATATCAAAAGCTTTGCTAAAATTAAGGAATAACACATCCACTACTTTTCCCTCTTCGACAGAGCCAGTTATCTCATCATAGACGGCAATTAGGTTACTCATACGTGACTTGCCCTCTTCTTCCAAGTCTTTAAAAATACACATTTACATTTCAAACTCTAGCTTATCTAAAGTGGACACACTTTTAAAATCTCTCTATAATTTTGACCCTGAATCAATTACATGCAAGTTGCTTAACCCTTCTTTGCCATGTGTCAAAGAAGTCTAGATCCTATGTGGATTCTTCCATGCTTAATGAGGACAGAGCTCCATATGAAACTTTTCCCACAGCCCAACCACTTGTCAGGTCTTTCTCCTGTGTGTAATGCCTGATGATTAACAAGGTCTGACCTTTGTATGAAACTTTTCCCACAGTCAAAGCACTTGTGGGGGTCTCTCTCCTGTGTGGATTGCCTGATGTCTAATTATTTGTGTCTTCGAAATGAAACATTTCCCCCACTCAAGGGATTGACAGGTTTTCTCTCCAGTGTGGCTGCTGCCATGGTTATTAAGATCTGAGAGCTCATTGAAGCTTTTCCCATCATCCAAGCATTGAAAGGGTTTCTCTCCAGCACAGATTTTCTGATGTGTCACAAGCTGTGATCTCACAATGAATTCTTTCCCACACTGAGGGTAGTGCCCGGGTGTCTCTTCCTTGGGATTTGTCTGCTGTGCTCTGGGATCCTTGTCTCCTTCCCCGACATTAATAGATTCATCCACTCTCTTCCCTCGGTGGTTTTCCAGAAGCCTCTCTGACCTCTGCCAGTTTCCCCAGCCTTCTTCCTGCTCCAAGCACTGGGAAAAATTCCCTTCAGCTCTTCCCACAAAGGTTCCCTGCAGTTCCACTTCCCCGGGAACTTCCTCATAATGATTCCCCTCCTCATTCTCACTCCCTCGCTCAGCATCTGCTGGGAGAAACACAATCCAGACAGGAGTCATTATGCTTGGGAGAAAGAGGAATAGCAACGAGGGCAAACCCAACACGAAGACTGACCAATTGCATTCTGCCTCCACATCCCACCCAAACACTCACAGGGAAGGAAAGCTGGGAAGCAAACTCCTGCAGCTAAGAGGCTGGGTGGAATGGTGTGAGCTATATCTCATGACTGCAGCCCTGTCCTGACTGAGATGAGGAAGAACTGAGGGCGTCACTCACACCATATTTTGGGATTCTCAACTTCTTCCTTCATTCCCTAGATTGTTTCTGTGTCAGTCCTCACCTGTACGGGTGCATCTCGGAAGCCTTCTTTCCTTGCAGTCCTGGAGATCGGACACCCACGGCTCTTCCCCTCGTTCCAGCCGGGCAATCAGCTCAGGTTTGGGAAAGGGGAATCCTGTGCAGAGGGTGGAATCAGACCAGATCAGGGATCCATGGAGCATTGGTGGAATACTTGTCAGAAAGGACATTCCGTGAGTGGAAACTGTCCCTGTGCTCTTGTGGAGGAACGTGGAATCCAAGAGGATGGGTAAATGGTCACTTCCTCCTTGAGCAGAGGAAGTTGTCTGGGGAGGTAGGTTGAATTATTACTACACCCTCACTAGGCTTTCCCAAGATCTGTGCACTCTGGGGGCTTTGCTGATTCAGACACAGCTCTGGAGTTAAACCCCTGCCTCTTTCTAAACCTGCAGAACCCAGAGCCCTCTCTAGCTGGAGCTAGTCCCAAGGAGGGAGGTGAACAGGGATTGTATGTGCAGCCGAGAAACAACACAGACAGGACAATGCTGGATTTATGCCCCTTTGAATGCTGGAGGGGTGTGGATGGTTTAGCTTGTCCATTGGGTTTTGACACCCATGTCCCACTGGAGAGGGCACGGAGATGCAAGTCTCTCTCACACGGCAGCTGTGAATTATGGAACCACTCACCTCTGATCTAACTGACCAGGGAAGAACATGACCAGATTCAGACACACAGACCCCACTGCTTCTTCTTAGGGTGACCAGACGTCCCGATATTATCGGGACAGTCCCGATTTTAGGAGATTTGTCCCATGCCCTGAACTTACATCGGTCAGGAAGCACTTTCTCCCGATATCTGGGGACCATCTGGTGGAGGACGCAAGCCGGCGCCACTCACCTCTTCTTCCTGGGCCCTGGGCAGCACAGCTGAACTCCCAGCACTCACCTGCCGGCCGGCAGGAGCCTGCAGAGTGCTGCAGCACCACTCCCCAGGAATGCACAGAGGCGGCGTGGAGGTCTCCGCTGCGTGCTGCAGGGGCAGGGCTTGTAGGCGCCGGCAGCCGGCAGAGAGCCCATCCGCCCCTGCCCCCCTCAACCCAACCCGAGCGACCTTAGGAGCCAGAGGGATGGGACCTGCCTGCTCGATGCTTCCTAGGAGCAGCTCTAGGTAAGGCTAGCACTGCTGGGACTCACCTGGCCCCCTGGTGGGTCCCTCTGGCTGTGGGAGGGGCTCTGCATGCTGCCCCCTCCCTCCCTGAGAGTGGGAGGTAGAGACAGAATGGAGGAAAGCTGGTGTGGGGGAGGGGGGCAGGGTATGGAGCTCCAGGTGGGTTCTCCGCCCCCACCAATTTTTCCTGTGCTCTGGCGGTTTTCTTTGTTTTGCTCCACAGCCGGCTTTTTTGTTTGTTTGTTTTTTTGCTCCGCCCGCCCCGTGTCCTGATACTTCACCTCTGTCATCTGGTAACCCTACTTCTAGTATCTGAGGGGACAGGAATCCCTTACCCAGCGAGGTCACCGTCTCGTAGTTCTCCTGCATGACATCCCTGTAGAGGGCTCTCTGAGCGGGGTCCAGCAGAGCCCCCTGCCCCTGGGTGAAATACACAGCCACCTCCTCGAAGGTCACTAGCATCTGAAACACCAAAAGTCCCCCACTCAGCACCTGCTGCTCCAGCCACAATCTCGCTAGTCACAAGAGAGGAAGGATGAAGAAATGGAAGCTCTGGGAGGGCCAGAGTAGCAGAATCCCACCCGCATCCTCCTTAGAGCAACCAAGAGGCTTCAGGGGGTGGGGAGAAGGTGAGAGCTCCTTGTCCTACCCAGCACACGGAGCAGGGCAGGGTCTTCTCATTTCTCACACACCTGCCAGCCACAGGCTGATACGGAAAGCAGAGCTCTGAGTCAGGGACAGGGACAGGAATCAAAACAGCTTCCGTTTGTATTTCACAGCCGCCTCAGACTAGTGGGGTCTCACTCCAGCACTGGGAGCCTTGTGCAAGGGGGTTATATCATTTTTGAGAAATTGAGGAATGTCCCGTCTCCCCTCCCCCGTCAACAATGGGCCCACTCAGAAAATCAGCAGGTTTATCACACACTGTCTCCTTCCTGCCCCTGCCCAGGAGCTCCCTGAAAATCCCCTACCTGAGCTGGCTCCATCACAGACATTTCCCTTCCCTGTCTCCTGGAAGAGAGACCCATGTGAGGCAAAAGGTGGATGTGATTCTTCAGCCTGTCGTGGCGAGAGGGGTGATGGGGGAGGTTACAGAAGGGGGTGGAGTCCATGTCACACCCCGGTTTCCCCCCAGGCTCTTCAGACCGTCCCAGTAACAGTATCTCTGAGCCAAATGCTAGAAAAAAAGCAGAACTAAAGGGGCCACTTTAGGGGATTTCCCCACACTGCCGTGTAAACTCCTCTCCCTTAGGAGCAGCAGGAGCCCTCTGATGGCATCACCTAAAGAATGAGCTGCCCTGGACTCCCCCAGCAGCCCCCAGGGACAGGCAGGCAGAGGCTGATCCCATTGGCCCAACCACACTCCCAGCCTGCCCAAAGCAGCAGTGACTCCGGTGTGGCTGAGATGTGAATCCTGCCCAGAAATCAGACCAGGGCCCTGGGCGACCCCAAAACTCATGAGACACAGACCCAGGGGTGCCTCTAGGCACCAGCAAAGCAAGCAGCTGCTTGGGGTAGCCTGGGAGCTGAGAACCAACAGGGGGCCCTGGGAGCTGTAGTTCCTTGGTTAGCTCTCTGCCTATGAGCCAGCCCTGGAAGAGGAAAAAAACTACATTTCCCAGCATTCTCTTGGCCACTATCAGCAGGAAAGGAACGGGGAGGGAGTATGGTAGCTGAAACCTCATGCTGCAGCTTGTTGTGAAGGGAGAGCTCACTGCTTGAGCAGGGTGGCACTGTGAATGGGGAACAAGTGTGCCCAAGGAGTAGAAGGCTTTGGCCCACATATTCCCTTCAGAAGACTTCCCCAGACTGGATTAGAGATACTTGCAGCCCCCAAAGAAGGAATTGGGTGGACTAAATGGACAGTGCCCCTTTCTATCTCAAACCTAGCAAGGGAGGTATGTGGATCCCACTAGAATTTAAAATGAAAAGTAAGGGAGGGGAGGCTCTGGACCTGGGCAGCTTTAGATACAGCGTCAGGCACTTAGGAGGATTTCCACTTCTGAGCCATGGAAGCAGATTTAGCTAATATTCAGAAAGGGAATCTAGCACCTGCCTTCCAGATCTGAACACCTCAAAATTCAGGAGTGCTCAAGCTCAATTTGGGCAGCTCTTACTTCAATTTTCCCAAATCAAATATACTGATCCACTGTAATTTGCTGTAGAAAAAGTAGCACAAAATTGAGCAAGAAATGCTTCCCAGTAGTTATTAGGACTGGAATTGCTATTTTCAACAGCCATTGCCTTTTCTTTTTGTTTTATTTGTTTGAAAGGAAGACAGTGATATCGCATTGGCAAATTCCCCATAGAAATTAAGAGTGGAACAAAGGAATAATAAAGGCACCTCAACTTTTCCTCATTTATGTAGGACAGTCTTATAATATGCATCCAGATATCCTCCAATCACACAAGCTGAAAATGGTTCCACTTTACTGCAGTTCTGTAACCATATGGGAACCAATCCTGTCTGTGTTCTGTGCACATCCAAAATTCCTGCTGAATGACCCATCCTGGTAGCAAGTTACCAGTGACCCAGGGCTGGGGTGGAAGGAGGGTGCAGGTGGAGGCGGGAGAGAGCCCAGGGCCGGGGCGGCAGTGGGGTGCACGTCGGGGGACGCCAAGAGCTGTGGCGGCACGGGGAGCAGGTGGGGGGGAGAACCCAGGGTTGGGGCAGCAGGAGGGTGCGGGGGGGGGGGGAGGTACAGGGCTCCGGGGTGGAGGCAACCACATTTTTTCTTGCTTGGGGCAGCAAAAAACATAGAGCCGGACCTGCACAGACCCAACCAGCACCGGTGTGTCTGACAGTAACACATTGGGAGCACGGTGTGAGTGTGGGTCCTGGGTTTTTGCCTCTGTCCCCCTCCAGTCTTCCCACACACTCCCTTCCCTCGCAGTGCCCCCGACACACATCTTCCCCCCATTCCAGCCTCG